GAAATATATTTATGTTTGTGGTTGTAATGTGACAAAATATGGAAAAGTTCAAGGGGTATGAATACTTTTGCAAACCACTGTATGTGCTGCAGAACAGGAACCTGCTGTAAAACAGCAATTATGCTGAGTCAGGTTTGATTTTTAATAATATTTTCCTGTTAAATAAATAAATCAAAATCAAATCAATCCTGATGATAGAAGAGTTTGTTGAATCTGACGTGGCATGTTCGTACAAACCCTTTGTATTTTTCTTTCTAAATTTAGGATAAGAAGCCGAAAATGGTCTTGAATGAGGTCCAATGTTTTTTTTTTTTTGAGTGGCACGACAGAAAAATGTTTTTGAGTAAAAAATAAGTTGTTAATCTATCCAGACTTTTTGTTTTGTTAAACAGTATTTTTATTTATTTTTTAATGGATCTCTGTGGTTTGATTGAACTCTTACAGCACTCAGGACTTCATCTCGATGTCCTTCAACGCCTCCAAAAATGGCCACCAACGTGTCTGTCTGGATGTTCCACAGTCGAAGAGCGTGATCTGTTGAGAAAAAAAAACATTAAGCTTCATTTACACAACCTGAACAAAACAACTGGTCTTTTTTAATTTAAGCAGCTTGTAAAACTGAACTAAGATCAGTAGAACTTTGCTGCCATTTTGATTAATTTGTTTTATTGCAAGCTGTTTAAATATTAAATAGATGATTATTATTTTACCTTTGCTGACAGACAGGAGGAGACTTGGATCCCTTGGGTGAAACTTGAGCTCATTGATGGCGTTTCCATGACCTACGTAATGCTGAATATGGCAAAAAACACATGACTCATCATTCATACTGCTTGTTTAAGTTCAACCTGATGTACCTGGTTTGGATCACTTGTACTACAGAATTTTACCCTGATTAACTAAACAGATCAGTGTATTTACTGGATAACGTTTTATGACAAATAAGTTAAAACTTGCAAAATTTCAGCATAAATTAGATTTTTATCTTCAAAGCGAATGTATAACACAACCTTTGTTAATCAAAGTTTAAAGTATCCACAATGGAGCCTTGAGGTACACAATAAGTACTAAGTAAAACTGAACAATAAGTACATGCTTGCACCAAAGGGATTGAATCAGAGGTCAGTTAGTTGCATTCAGCTTAGCTGCCAATGAGCAAGATAAGGTTTTAAGAAAAATAGCAGTTATTAGTGGGAGTGCACCGATAAATGGGCCAGCCAGTTTATCAGAACTGATTTCATTAATTTTGGGAGATCAGCCAATCAGATAAGATCGGTGAAAAAGATCGGCAGAAATATAAGCTTCTCTACTTCCACAAAGGTCTGAAAATCAGTCACTGTCCCCTTCTTCTGCTGTGAGCACTACCTAACATCCACTTAAAACAAGTTTGTATTGTTTCAAGGGTATTGTTTTAATAAAATAAATGTCATCAATGAGCTCTCATTGGAATTTTATTTTATTTTTAATAAAATAAGATTGGAACACTGAAGCTGTATTGTGATCTTATAACACCTGACAGCGTCGGCTATTTAAAAAATCGGTATCGGCAGGTCAGACTTTTTAAAGGTCGGTGATAGGCCAGAAAACTGAAATCAGTGCACCCTAATTATTAGAAAAGAAAAGTGGAAAAGAGAGCCTTGATGTCCTTTTCAGGGGTGCCACCGAGCCATTGGTTCAGATATGTTGACGACACCTGGGTTAAAATKAAAGCCCAGGAAGTCCAACATTTCACTGATCACATCAACTCCGTGGATGAATATATTAAGTTCACACGAGAGGATGTAAAAAATGGCAGGTTGGCGTTCCTGGATTGCGATGTCCCGGTTTCGGATGGAGGA